TGCCGATCTGTCTGAGTTCTCGCACCAAAAAGAAGTTCGAATTGGGATGGCTATCATGCAACGACGTTCAGGAGTTTGCTGCTGCTGCGTGTACCCTGTACTCACTGCAGGACTTTCCCCGGGTATTCCAAGCCTGCATACTCGAAGCAGGCATGAGGGTCGCCATGCAGGTTCCCAATCGAATCTTAAGCAAGTAATCCTCCAATAATAAGCATTCTCAAATCATAATAAACTCAGGGTCCTTCCCCTGCTGCTCATTAAAGAACAAGAGGCAGGGGCATCATAATATTAGTTCATTCGTGCATGAGATCTGCGTCCCATCAAATGCCGGCGGGGAACAAAATTCAATCCCTCGGGGACAACAACCAGGTGACACCTCCGTACCCGAAACTCGTTTATCGTAAATACTTAGTTTCAAATATGTTTTGGGCATCGTGAAATCCAAATCCTCCGGATTTGTGGTTTGCGTGCCCTTTGGTCCGATCCATGGCCATGGAGCTACGTCTGTCATAATCGGTGTATGCACGTACTATCAGTCGCCTACTCTACTCTAGCTATCCGGCGGGGTCGGGCTGGTCTTGCATGATGAAATTGTGGAAGTCCTAGCTCCCTTCTAATGCAAAAGCTCTCGGCGAAGCTTTCCCAGAGCTGGAACCCCGGTGTTTGCGGGGTGCATACCATTTTCCGGAAGTGAGAGCCTCGAGAATTAAATTGTGGATGGAGATGGTGTAGGTCGACTGGCTGACAACGCATGGTGAGGCAGAATAGGAAACAGGTCAAAGTGAATTAAAGTGAAAATTTAACTTTTGGCAGATCAATTCTCCTAGCTAAATTTACCGATCTGAAGAGCCTCAATGAGTCAATGATCTAATCCGCTCGGCTCGTCATGTGTTATCACTCGTATACACATAGCACCCTAGGATAAGCGCCCCTTGCCTTGTAACACGTAAATTATAAAACGGCCAACGAGAAGACGTAGAAACTATTTTATTACCTACACCAGAACGCGCTTCTGATTACTTGCAAAAATTGTACGTAAGTTGATTGAACTCGGTTCAAAGTGTAGGTACGCAAGCGGATATAAACTGCCGACCTGGTCTACACACAATTAATAGAACATCCCAATATACAAAGAGCGATTTTCTAGTCCAAACATGCAAAAGATATACTTGCCGCATCTACGGGACGCTCCCCAAATATTACACGCTCATACCTAATTTCGAGGCACTTTGTGCAATTGTCACATAAGATAGTACGTGTACACACGTGTATCTACTCCTATTCCGTATGAACGTTTCAAAGGTAACGTCGATGTGGTTCAGTTCTTAGATTCTGCAGTTCCAGACTTTTTCCGCCTATCATAAACATCTTCCGCGAGCTCCCGATCAACCATAAGTGGCGTTTAAACGACAAAAAAATACCTCTCATAATATCGAAATGGCAAATGTCCGAGAACAAAGTTAGCCTAGATACATGTACTTTACCCAAGAACATACGATACCATACAGAGCAATACTAGAGTGGACTCTGGTAAGGTGCTGATCAATCAGTACGATCATTAGGGATGGACACGATCTACTACGTTTCTACCTTACCCGTCCATGCCTATTGCATCCCAAACAGTTTGACTTACTGGAACCCGCATTAACTGCTGGCACGGGATTTATTTGGAATATTATTTGATACGGCCGCGGTGTACTATATATCATGAAACTTAAGAAGGGCTGAAGTCCAGTATAACATCATTATGTATGCATCATTCAGAGATTATTAGTACTAAACTTTTACAAGGGACGAAGACCGTTGGACGTACGTACGCGTAGCAATAGTTTCTCTTGCGTACCAACATTCATGGGATTTAATATTTCTCATCTTTCTAACTTGCGCCTTCCATACCAAGTTCTCACCGATATTGAGGATCATCCCACTGCTCTTAGCATTTCCGCGGAAGAGTTGCGTAAATGGAACTTATTTCTCGTAATGAAAATTCGATTTTTGGGTTTAACGAGTTATGCTGCCCGATTGAATCGGGAATCCTGTATTTACCCGTGAAGGATTATTCCAAACCGGACCACTCACGCAGGTCTGATCTGCCAAGCCTTCGCGGCCAACGTCAACTTGACAATTGAGATTCTTTTCCCAAAACCCAGCACACGTGGGTTGTTCCCTTGAGACGCCGCACCAAAACATCTGGGAACGAAACTGTAGGTCACATACGCAGGATACCATTCCGTATCCGCTAGCGCTTTCTTATGATCATGGATGGACCCACCTTGCCATATGGTGGCATCACGACATCACTCGAATAATCCCATCACCATACATCCAATTCCAGGGGGAACAATCCAGACCGAACTTCCTAAGACCTGAGACTTCTCGTTTGAATGGCAAAATAGATGCTCTCTACCAATATCCGGAGCTAACAGCTACAGACGACCTGTCAAAGTTTCCCACTGGAAATTACCTTTCTAAAGCAGTACGTTCACCGATAAGTATAATTTCACCGGTAAGTAACTACAAACGGAGACTCGAAGAGAATCCCAACGGGGAGAAAATTCTTTTTCGTAGAGTAAAAGGATTGATTGCTAAGTTTTGGATAATTGTAGAGATTGTAATTCTTTTCGACTTTATCTGAATCCTGGTAAAATATACGTTGGGAATCGGATTTCTTGGGATCTAAACCGATAAATATGACTGATCACTCTAGGTGCTCTGATATTGTCCTAGCTGTGCCTCAGGGCGAGACTCGGATATACCGCTCTGAGAAACTTGAACGATGTTGTTGCGACACTGTTTCTCGCTGAGGATCTATCACCAACCATGATTGAAGCTCTTGACTCTTAGCTCAACCTTGGCCCAAATTTATTTGCCGAGAAATATGCTGACGCCAACTATGCACCGGATAACTACGAGGATTCGGTTGATATACAAGATAATGGCCTTATTATATATGGCCATGCTAATTCTTTTGAATTCAACAAGCTTCATCTAACCTGGAAAAGACGAGTATTAAAGAATGTCCGGCTGAGAAGTCCCCGCCGTAGATATATAACTCCTTTAAGATGTTATAGAAACACCCCCCCTTGATACCTCGGGGGGATCTCTAAATTATCACAAAAGACCGCCAATTCAATATATTGTTTGACCATTTGATATATGAGTAGGGAGCAGTTTAGGTCCGCTGTTTTAGCGGGAGAGGGGATGGCATTTCTTCAAAGGAAGATTCTCATAGCTAGACGGGTATATCTATCTTCGCTGGGGCATTTATTAAGTGAAGTGATTATTTAAAGGATATTGGTGGGTTTTATTTGACCCTGTAAGAATGATGTCTAAAAGGAATATTCGAAATATTTCCTTGTCGGGATAGTGGACAATCTCGTGTGAGCCTTGGGGGCATTGAAGAATAAAGGATAGGACATTTAGTGCTCTGATGTCGTCAATGTCGATTATCGAAATCCAAACGGCCATTGCACAGGCCGAGACCATAACCAGGCTCACTGAGCTGGAGGTTCTCCCATAGTTACCTTTGGTGTACGCAACGTGAACTTATGCCTGTAATCTCCTATGAGGGTTCTCATGGTCTAAGTATCTTTTATCAAATCCAAAACTGCGGATTCTCATACTTTCAAGGCAATATGGCTGAAAACTATAAGACCTAATAATGGATTGTGGTACTAACCTGTCTCCTTATTGGAGCTTGCGGGTTCTACGTTATTTTCAGCAGAAGAGATACTGAATACGTATCAGAGAATATCCCCGAAAAAGTGAGGGAAGAAACAACCGCGACCCGAGGTGCATATCCCGATATTTGAGTACATCACGAAAGATGTGTAAACTTGGCATGTTGGCCGTGGTATTTGCAGTTTAGTTGGCACTGATGGGGATTGTGAGCTATCCAAAGGCGGTACAGACCGGGATACGTACTTAATAGTAACTGTGATGGTGTTTATTGTTAGGGTATTTATGCTTCCAGGTCACATAATAAGACGCAAGACACGGAAAAGCAACCTTACTGCATTGACGACCATGGCACAGTAACGTATAATAAATACAGAGGAGGGAGTCTACAAAACATGGCCACTGTGTGAAGGACAGGTACAACAAACTAATTTATATTAGAATAGTAATTTTTAAAACAAGTATAACTCCGCGAGCAACATCGAAAAGGATAGTTTTATAACCAGAGGGCCGAAGTCTGTCAGAACCTACATATCCTCTGGGTATGAACCCCGAAAACCGACTTTGGGAGTACACAAGAAGTTAGATAGATGTGCAACGTACTAATGTACTTGAGTACAGATATGTAGGTACTTAAGTTGTTTTAGGTGATTTTTGCTGGCTGTTACACAAAATCATGGGATCTTTTGTAGTCCAAAAACATCCACAAGATGTAGGCCATATCACATTTTCAATAGCGAATTTTTGAATTATAAGTTAGTACAAACACATGGTTACATGGCCCAATGGCAAGGCGCTTGACTACGAATCAAGAGATTCCAGGTTCGACCCCTGGTGTGATCACACAAGTAATAAGGTATTCTCTCAAAACCATGTCCGTTACAATCATTGCCGGTGGGTGAGGTGTAGCTATTGGTCCAAGGGACATATAGCTCTAAGTTTCTTTTTTTGTGATTTCGGTGTTCCGGAAGCGGCTGCGCAGGCGGTACTAAAGTTCGGTTTGGTGTAGCAGTTACTCTAGCCTGTATCTGACACATTTATTACACACGTATTTAGTATTCCTGTCCGGACTATTTTGCAAACGATATATTATATCGGAAGTTTGATCCAGCTCCGTGTTGTTTGGCCATACCCGCTATGCCGATAATTATATTATTTTGATCAATAAAAAAGCTACCGAGGAAATCATGATGGGTTTGTATATTCTGCAAGTGTTTGGGCTGGTGCCCTCAGTATGGCAGCCCGCAAACTCTATTCAAATAGCTTCTATTGCGTTACGCACGTTTCTGACCCATATAATTTGGCGGTACAAGTGACATCCTCTACATCAATCTCACTCCTGCTTGCTTCCCCTTCTTTGCGGCGGCCTGTACGGCACTCGCCGAATTGGTGTTAAGACTTGATGTGGCCTCTCTCTTTTTCTCGTCTTCTATCTTTTTGAGCCTTTTTTCGGTTTTTGCCTTTCCGGAGCCCTTTCCGTGGAACTGATGAGAGAGGTGTTTAAATGCCTATTGGATACGAGGAAATTTATTAGCTACGAGAGTACACCAGAAAATAAAAGGGAATTGAAAATAACAAACCTCTTTTGGTGTCATATCTCTGCCAAATTCATCTTTATATTGTAGATTGACGTCTGGTCTATACTCTTTGAACCTTGTCTGCAAGTCCCTTGCTTCCTGAAGGTCTCTTTGTTTGTTCTCCCATCGAGCATGCTCTTCCCTCTCTCTCGCAGACATGCGATCGAACTTCCCGCTCTGCCTATCACGCAATCTTTGCGACTTTGCCTTTTCTTCTGCTTCAACCTCGCGGAGTCGCTTCTGAACATTGAAATTCTGACGATCGCGAAGTAGTTGAACTTTATTCTCTGCTTCTTCGTCTCGCTTAAGAAGACCACGCTGGTTAAGCATGGCGAGTGTGGCACCGACACCTCTGGACATAGTCATTTCCTCTTCAAGACCTGTGCTAGAGAATTCCGGGGCTCCGTCCGGAGGTCCGGGAGCGGTGTTGTTAGATTTATGGCCGACTTTCCCGTCAACTTCGTCAACACTATCAACTTCCATGTCCTCGATGTCACCATCAAGAGGTTCAACCCAATCGTCGGCCATAGATGTGATCCTAGAAGCTTCAACTTTGATATTTTTGCGTTCTGGGATGACAGCCGCTCTTAAATTCGCCACGAACTCAGTTGTTTCATCAATGATGAGTCCAGGTCCTTCCTCGTCATCTACCATTGCATTCTCTGCTTCATCCAGGACCTCTTCTGCCACTGCTGCTGCATCTTCAAGCAATTTACGAGCAAAAGCGTCGGGCTTCAGTATTTTACGTTTCTTTAAAGCAGCTCGACGCTGGGTCGCAAGAGAATCCTGAAGGTCCTCGTCATCAACAAATGATGTCTCTTTATAGGTTCGTTTTGGCTTGGGTGCACTCGCAGGGGCTAAATCAACCTCCATAGAGTTGTTATCGGGCACCTCTTGTGTATTCTCAGGAGGTGGCGCAAGACTATCATCGTCTTCGGACTTCTTCCGAGTCGACTTTGATTTCTTTTTCTTAGATTTCCGGATACTTGTGTTCATGGCGTAATCAGAGACGACTTCGGGTTCTGCGATTGTAGACTTTCTATCAGTAGTGCACCAGTAACCGCGGGAATCGCAATAACAGGACTGGGGGTACTGACTTGGAAGATCTAAAGTAATTTTGATAGGTTTTGCCTTGAGTTTCTCGATCACTTCTTCCCGATGAGCATTGATGTCTGCGGAATTGCCAGAACCATCGAGTACAAACCTCTTTTTCTTTTTCCCATCAATTTCTTCATCGTATTGTGCCAAAATACTTCTTTCTCCATGTTCGTCATCATCATAGGCGTTGTAAACTGGCTTCTTTTTCTTCAGTTCCATTCTTTCGTTGAGCCTTTCCCTCTCGGTCAAGTCGGTGGATATAAGTTCGTCGCCGTCCTCTGATCAAAAAATTAGTATTCGATATTTGTGAATATATTTTCAGTAGAAAATAAGATAAACATACCTTCATTTTCTTCTATGGTGGTATCTTTAAGCGTCAAGATTGTGCCTTCTTCGCCTTCATGTAACTCATCTAGATCATGGCCAACTCTAACACCCGCCAATTGATCTGCAGTATACTCTTTATGCTCTCTGAGAGCTCTTTCTTCCTCTTCTTCCTTATCCTTGGCCATCTTTTCTGCTAATTTCTTCTGTCGCCTCTTCATTTTTTTAACCCACGTCGTTGTATCTTCCTCGTTCTCCTCTTCTTCCCCTAACCCTTTGCCCTCAAGCTGCGCGAACCTTTTTGCAACATCACGCGCTTTCTTAATGCCATCAAGTTTAGCTTTCCGTGTGGCCTCTTTTTGGATCTCAGTTTCGTGCTGCTTCCAGTTGTCGACAGCCCGTCGTTCATGACCTTCAACCGAGTTGTCATAGGTTTTCTCGCCTGTGGCGCCACCAGAGGGTTTAGACTCGGTATCAACCTTTAAGGGCTTGAGACCGAGAGATATTCGGAGCTTGTTGGTTTCTTCGAGAGATAGTGATTCCTCCATGGTTAGCTGTTGGTTGACAGATGTAAGGTGATGATGTCCGAGCTTCACACAGCTTTAGTTGCATTGGTTTAATCGAGAGCCGGGTAAGGAGAAAGAAGCTATCTTGGCAAAACTAAGAAACGTCAATGCCAACAGACAGACTGCATAGTACACCCGTGCAAATATTGGTTCCGTATTACCTCCTGAACTACGTATACATGTATATAGTCAAGTAATGATTTATTAAAGTACGCAACATTATAACCAATTATTAAAGCTTTCCAACCAGAGAACTGTTTATCTTGAATTGATATTTTTTTGATATCTCTATCGTGATCCTAACCCATGTAGAATAATTACACATATACAACGTGATAAAGGAAAAGTACTTGTAAAACGTAAGTACTAACCCCCAGAATATATCTCAGTAAAAAAGATTTCCTAACAATAAACCCCTTGAAAACTATACAGCTGAAAATTGACAGTAGAATGAAAGAAAGAAGAAGTGACCTTTCCCCTCCGCTTAAAGTACAGAGAAACACCGAGTAATAGAAAAGAAAATAGGTATCGCCTTTATGTGGAAAGCAACCATACGCGCATATCCATGTCCAAGAATACCCTTTGCCGCATCATAGCCGACTCTTTAGAAATATTCCACCCCAGCTCCAAGAACTAGAAACTGAAGGCATCCCAAAACCCCAGGAGACGTAAGACAGAATAATAAAAAAGGGTAGAAATTCAAAACACAAACCGCTAAAACTCATTTACCCAAATCATCTTACTTTCTGGGCCTCTTCTTCCCATATACAGGTTCCTTTTGTTCAGGCTCTCCCAAGTACACTACTCTTGATACCTCCACAGGTTCCCTCGAAATTTGGAGAGGAGGGGCGTTAGGAGCTGGAACCCAGTTTCCATGGATTGTCAACGGAGGCTAAGGAAATATTAGCATTTCATCGATAAAGCATAAATAATGCTGATTACTTACTGGTGCCTTTAAAACGCCACGCTCTGGAAACTTCTTCTTAGTATCTTCTTTCGGTGGAGCCTCCCCTTCTTCATCATCGCAAATATAGACTAATTCCGGATCCCATCGGACCTTCGAGTTATCGTTGTTCACCCATTCCTCCTCTTCTCCGGGATGAAGCATGCAGCCAGTATCCTGCATTAGTCCCCAGCGCCTTTCCTTTGATTCCTGGGCTGCTTTCCGGGTGGCAGCATCAAGGGCCGCTTCACTGGGGCGAGGGAAAGGTTTTTTAATAATTTTGAATTCAATCCCCACTGAGAACAACCCGTTCTGAGTTGTGTGGCGGTTGCACATCGTTAGCATCGGATCAGGCATCGAGACGCTACTCGAAACAGGAATGTTTGATTTAGCGACCCGCCCCCCAGTTTCGAGGCCGTCAGCAGCCTTCCTCTTGATTCGTGGAAGTCCAGATCTTGGGGGTGGTATGCTTGAAAAGGCAGGTAGAGGAACTTGGGATCGACGAGTTTTTCTCTCTGGGGGCTATATTGGGTTAGTTAGATATGGTTAAGATTAATGAGAAAGACGAAATCTCACCACTGATGGACGAACTGGAGGATGATGAAGAGCACTCCATTTTGTGATGGGTGGGATTTCACCCACTTTTGTGACGGGCGGGATTTCATCTACTTCTGTAACGGGTGGGTTCTCATCCACCTCTGTGACGGGTGAAATTTCACTCCCTTCTTTGATGGGCGGGACCGTATTCCCAGTAGATGCCTTTGTAGCTTCAGCACGGACAGCCCTATAAGCCCGATATGCTCTCTGAATCTTATAGACCGCGAAGCGTTCCTTCCTCACGCGCCTGATGTGCTCCTCCCAGTTGGTCTGGACCTCGTCTGGTCGAGAGTTTTTCAGGTAATATTGACGGTCCGGTAAAGTGCTATCCGACATCCTCCGAGGCTTCTTGCTGGTCGTTTTCGACACCGGTTCATCAGGATGGAAGGTTAGACGACGACCGTCCTTACCTTTGCTCTTCTTGAGGGCTTGAAACTCCTCCTGCGGTTCCTCCAAGAACCGCTTACGGCCCTTGGCTATCTTCTCCTCCCTCTCTCTTTTCATCCTCTCTTCTTGCTCCATCTTGATTTCTTCCTTCTCTGCTTCGACTCCTCGCATAAACGACATCTCAAATTGAGTGTCCTCTCCAATCTCCTCACCTTTCTCCTCGTCAGGCAATAGGTTGATGCCCTCGTACTCTTGATCGGAACCAATATCAACACCGCGGGCATATGACTGCTCAAATGTATCATCCATATCTATTGGTGTTTTCTTGACCTCTTCATCAGGCAATAGGTTGATGCCCTCGTACGATTGATCGGAACCCATATCTAGACCACGAATATAAGACTGCTCGAAAGTATTATCCATATCTATCGGTGTCTTCTGAGCCTCTTCGTCAGGCAATAGATTGACACCCTCGTATGATTTATCAGAGCCAATAGCAAGACCACGAATATATGATTGCTCGAAGGTATCATCGCCTAGTGCCGTTTGGACCTCTTCCACTTCCTCTTGCCCACGAGCGTATGACTTTTCAAATTCGGTTTCATCGCCCGGTTGATCAGCTGTTCTAGGCGATGAACTTGGGGAGAAATTAGTAGCTTTGGACTCTTGGGCTCGCCAGAAATTTGGAGGTGACGAGGCACGGAATTCCTGAAGGCGTCCCCCGGTGCTCTCGGGATCCAAGTGGAATTTAATCCCTTTACCATCTTCCTCGTCTTCACCCCAGTCCGTGTCTTCTTCTTCTTTTCGGGCCGACTGGTTGTTGATCATGATCGGAGAAAAAACTTCAGTGTCGCTTTCCTCCTTTTCCTCCTCATCATCTCCCTCTACTTTGCTACTGTCCGGTTTAGGAGGAAAGATGCTTGCGGTAGGCTCATAAGAAAACTCTTGAAGTTTAAATGGGGATTCGTCCAAGGGAGAGGACGGGATATCTTCGTCAAAATCATTGTCAGACGCGGTGAACGTAAGGTCACACTCGGCAATGTCGCCCTTTGCTTCGGGTACCAAAGGTGTAGACTCTTCTATTGCATGTTAGACACACGTAAGAGCCAGAAAGAATAGAATTACACAGACAACATACCTTGCTCAACGGCATCCTTAGCCTTATCAAACAATTTAAACAACTTACTTTCATCCGGGTTAGATGATCTGCTGTTCTCAACCTCTTTTTTGTCTTCCTCCGGGACTATGCGTTATTAGCTAAATACAAAATGTCTCGCAAAGGGGTGACTTACGAATGTTAGATGAAACAGCCGCAGGCTTCTCCACAAATGTCTCTTCCTGGTCAACAACTTCCTTATGAATAGATTCCATAGAGACTTCTTCTTCACCGAGTTTATCAACAAGATCTTCAACATCGTGGAATGACTCCCGATCAGCAAATGTATCATCACCAACGTTATCATCGTCATCTTCGTCATTTTCCGAGGTGAAAGACAAGTTCCAACTTGGTGATGAACTCAGTGCTGAGGTCTTCGTATCTTTCAAAAAATCTGCACTTCTGTTAACAATATCAAATAAAACAAAACAATCTTAAGTAAACTTACCAAGCTTAGTCTTCTTAATAGGACTACTTATTGAGGAACTAGACGCAACCGGGCTCTTCAAAAGAGGAATTCCACTCTCCAATCTCCTCGCAGCTGGACTAGGGAGGTCTTCAGCAAAGCTTAAACGACCAGCCGGGCTAGATCGAATAAAAGAGTCGGCTGTGAAACTTTTAGTAGCTGGCAATCAATGTGAGCGGGTTAGATTTACCTTTTATCGGTGTCGGGTTTTTGATGGGGCTTGAATTCATATGTCCTTTATTTTCCATTTCCAAGTTGATCTTCGCATTGCTCAGAACAACATCGCCTACCAGCGACTCCTTGGTTGGTGTTTGTTTGACTGGGCTTCTTCCATCACCAGCAACGGCATCCGGCGTTGGGGGCGGCATCATAACTGGGCTGCTTTGAACGTCGACATTGAGCGCTCGTGTAGGGGTACTAGCGACCTTCCTGATATCTCTCGAGTCTAAGAAGGGACAGCAACGATATTAGTACACTCTTAAACAGCGAAAAATTCATATTTCTACCTTCCAAATTCTTGAATGGGGTTCCACTCCGAGAGAGACGACTCGGCGTATGTTTATTAGGTGTTGCCCACTTTTTGATTGGCGAAGGGCCCCTAGGCGTGGTGACCGATCCTGGAGAGGCAAGAATAGGCTCTTGACTAGCATTACGAAGTGGTGAAGAGTGCAGCTGTGGATGAGATACACTAAAAGTGACCGGCGATGAAGGTACTGAACTCTTGATAGGGTCTAAATTGGGATCCGGTGAAGTGAATCTAGTCGGGGAAAGAATAATTGGCTTAGACATTGGTAAAGCGAATTCTTCATCCTCATCATGCGCGCTAACCTCCTCGGAGGGTTTCCCAGGGATTTCCTCGTGAACCGTTTCATTCTGAACATCTTCGGTCATTCGAGTAACTGCTTCACTTGAGCTTTGCCTAAGTGATGTTCCTTCGGATACGACATCAACTGGTTCAATTTCCTGGATGGTTTTCGATTTCTCGCCAATAATCTCTGGCTCTGCATCGTTGCCTTGATCGGACATGATTTCATCCTCTTGGACAGATTCGGTCACAAGGACTTCTTGTTTAGCCGCAGCGCTTCTTCCCCTTCTAACTGTTGTGGCTTTCTTAGCAATACCGCTTTTTCTCGGACCAAGGACGATAACAGGATCAATAATCCTCGAGCTTGACGGAGCACTTTTATGATCAATTTCTGCTTCTGGCTCAGCGTCAACATTAACATCACCATCAGCGTCAATTTCAGGTTGAAGTTGGCTTTTTGCTTTTTTGATTGCCGCTGCACGCTCTTTCTTTTTAGTGGCCGCGGACTTCTTCCTAGGCTTGGGAACTTTGGTTTTGTTGGTATTGGTGGGTTGAGAATCAGCTCCAACTATATTTTCGATTGCATCTTCCGCCTGGTTCTTGAGGTCCTCGCTCCTGGCTGCAAAGATGGGACTCTCAGCTTTTTTAGTCTTTTCTTCAGATGAGGGATTCTCATTCATGGGAGCAACGCCGGAGCTCTCATCCCCAGCGTTCTTCACTGAGATGGAGTCCGCACTCCCACGTGTGATATCAGAACTCTTAATTCCAACCTCACTGTCTTCCTTCGCCTCTTGTTCAACTGCTTTAATATCAATCTGTTCTTTGGGGATTGCTTCTGGTCCGTCCTGAGTACTTCTAAAAGAATCGATAAAAACTCCAGAATCTTGAGTTTTGGGTAGTTTATTTGTTCCATCCCCATAAAAATCGTCTACTTCGGTGGCTTGCGAGGATTCCAATACCTCCGATGCTGGTTCTGGAGCCGTCTCTTCGTCATTGGCTTTCTTGGAAGATTCTATAATCACTTGAGGATTGGCCATCGGGATATCCTCCACAATTCGATCTGTTTGGTCAAGCTGAGAGGCCTCGTCTTGATTTTCGACTCCTTCAATCTTTTTACCTCTTGTGGGCTTCCTGGTAACCAACGCCTTCTTGGCAGCGGCCTTCTTCGCGGCAGCGGTTGCCTTCTTAGAGGGCTTGGCTGTTTTAGTCGAGTGCTTGGGTTCTTCTTTGGCAACTTCGTGATCTGTTACTGGATCGTTGTCGATTGTGGGTTCCTCCTTAACAGCTGGGATCGGTCTTTTGACGGTGGTACCAATTTCCTCGACTTCGAAGTTCCCAGAGGCCTCAGGCTCCTCGATTTCGGGCTCTTCGGCTTCGGCTTCGGCTTCGGCCTCCTTGGCTTCGAGCTCCTCGTGCACTTTCTTCGCCTTGCCCTTCCCTTTCCTGGAAACTGAAGCCTTTCTTTTTTTCCCTTTCGCTGTGGCTTTTTCTGGCACATCTTCTCCTTGGCCACCAACAATCACCTCCGTCTGTTCCTCTGCCTTACTTTCTCTCTTTTTAGCCCAATGAGGCGTAGCGCTTGAAGAGGCGGCAGCACTTTCGACGGCAGAAGCCTCGAAAATTTCTGAAGTGACTTTCTTTCCACGTTTCGGCTTTTCTACAGCAGGTGCCACAGTAATGCTATTATCTTCTGTAGGGGCTTCAGATGCTCCGCGGTTTCCTCTTGTAGACCGCCTTAATGTGGGGGCAGGTGTCGCAGGAGCAATAGTAGCCTCGACAATAACGACCTCCTCTTCCACTGGCGCAGTAACTGTAGTCTTCCCCTTCGCAGCACGGCCTCGTGTCGCTTTAGCTTTTACTGGCGGGACGGTTGGGTCAACATCGCTAACAGGCGCAGTTTGAGGTTCGGGGACCGCAGGTGTGGTGTCAGCTTTTTCAATTCCATTCTTCTCTGCTTTGTTCGCCTCCTCAGCCCCATGTTCATCTCCAGCCTTGGCCTCTGCTACTTTCTCCCCCTCTGGCTCAACATTGGTTCCTTTCCTGGTACGTGTCGATCTCCGTACATCCTTTTCCTCGATCTCTTTTTCAATGGTCTCTTTCGCAGCAACTTTCGCTTTCTTGGCAACACGTGTAGCGGAAACTTTTGGTGCTGTTTCTGTTTTGTTGCCCGCCGTCTCCGCCTTCGACCTCGTAGATCGGCGCGCTGGCGCCATCTCTCTCGTTTGTTCTCTTTTGCCTTACGGCGGGGTGATGTGTTTTCTCGACGGGGATAACTCGAGAAACGATGAAGTTTGTAAAAATTAACTCCTGAAGGGAATTAGAAGCAAGCAAGCGAGTATCGGGGGGTGGGAAGATGATTCGAGGTGAAAAAAGCTAAATCGCTAAATCGCAACTCAAACAGAAGATGTGTTGGTGGATGGGGGGGATGAGTGGGGAAGAAAGGTGTTTGGGTGTGGGTGCCGATGATGGGATGTCGCGCTTTGTGTTGCGCGTGGAAAGGGTGCCAAGCTAAACAGTCCTGAGCACGTGATTTGGCGCGGTTTACTCAAGAGAACACCCACTTTTCCTAGCTCGGATTGTGGCCTCTGACGCGTAAAGATGTTTCCTCGACGCGTTTAAAGCGCTTCCAGAAGATTCTCCTATGTGTTTGAAACCAAATCAACAATTTTCGACCGATTGTAGTATTCTCCAGAACCCTAGCCCTGGGAATCGATCAGGATACACAACCAATCCTACAGCCTGCTGGCTATGAGAGTTTCTGGTTCAATGGCATAGTTCATGAATCTCAATATGAATACATAAGCATTCATCAGCTAGTTGTGGGGATGTCCATTGATTGCATGTATGTATGTAGCACTTGATAATACCTATATGTGATCCAGACGTGGACATCGGAAGAACGTATACGCGTAGCAAATTTGGAAAGGGCTATTTATTCCTGTAATTGCTTGTGGTGAAACTAACTAAACGATCATTGAATCATGTCAAACGTCACATTTCCGCAGGGCTAGTATTTGTGATTTAGTATTGTATTTGAAGTATGTACATCATGTATAAACAAGGCACCCCGATCACATGTACATGTGCACTTGGGAATATAAGCTAAGATGTACATACTAGAGTACCCCATTATACTAAACAACCCCCGACACCTTCATTCACGTAGATTTAAAAGGAATTTGTGTTGAGTTCTAACCTCAGAACCTATAGCTACATGTATTTAGGAAGATATTATGGTCGTCAATACCATACTACATTAGTGGTACATACTCGGGGGAGGTAAAAAGTACCGGACAATGCAAGTTTTGTCTCTGGGCTTTTTTGCAGTAGTTCACGCCTAGCACGCGCACCCATTGGTGAACCAAAAACCTGCATTGTCCGGTACTTTTTACCTGCCCCGAGTATAGCACTATTGTTAGTAATTACATGATGTAGTGAATGGAGGAATCTACTGGACATTCCGGTATATGCCAATTAATTCGCCTCTCCTCTACGGTCTATAGTCGACTAATTAAGCAGCCAAGACCTGTATACATATAGATCTCTATAGCTATTTCCGTGCCGGAATGGCAAGGAGAGATCTCGAGACATGATGATACGATTCCCCCTTGACATACATGTAACCTACGTATTACCATGCATGGTGCTAAGTGCTACATGTACTAACGTAGACTTTACAAAACATTATATTACCTGCATTCTCTAGCGCGTAGGAAGTTGCTCCCAGCTAGACTCACACCCAATACATGTAGTTTTAACAGGTATTATTCCTAAGTAATCCGAGTGATAATTCATGATCAATAAATCTTGACGATTGATAAAACTCATGTGCATATATGAAAATTATATATCAATTCATGAATTGATTATTCGCGCATGATTACTTGTATTATGATTAGTCGAATATCCGAAATGCTAATTAGTATACCCCACTGCAAGATGCCTCATCCCTTCATCGGATAACCTTCAGTTAAGATCCCATTGCATGCAATATAACACGTATCTACCTACACTTATTCAGCGGCTCGACAGACATCTGATGCTGAGGCTGAAACTTATATGGAACCTTCACGGAAGCTTCCAAAATTCTGCACGCGGACACGCACGGAATCACATCACAGTTATTCGCCCGGAACAAGGCGTACCACTGATCTCAGGGCACTCGAAATTTTATAAAAACGCACAAGATGAGGTGTTGACATGATCGTGAGGAATAAGCCGGGGAAAGTATATAGCCTACGGAATGCCGTTTCAAAGGCCGGGCCCGTGTGATGTTTCATCAAATATTTGTGAGGACCCATCATACAAGTGATTGAATTCAAGCGTTTGGATGCTTCGCTCTCTATTCAGTAAGCGGAGCTACTAGCCATCTCCTTTAAAGAGAAAGAAAGAAAGAAAGAAAACTCATAATGGAGGCTGAAACATCTATAGAGATTGAGACACGGCACCCGCAGTAATAATACGCTTTCTATACTCCGATGAAGAAGTAATCAATGCCAAGAAAATCATGCCAATATTTTTAATAAGTCGAATCGATCCTGTTACAGTCCCAAAATGCATAATCACAATCTCGCTCGAACTGCGAGATACAGAATATGCGCTCCTCCCTCAATTTAGAGTAAAGTAGAAGACCACATTCCTTGCAGGGTTAGGTTTGTACCGGTCAATGCAATGAAGTCCAGTCTTTCAGAAGTTAATTGGGAAAATCAAAGACAGACATTCCATGGGTGGGGGATTGCCTGGATCTCATCTTAGAAAGCCCCAGGAGGTGATGAGAATCACGGACCCTTCCCACGTCCGATTCTTGGGTTTTTTGTGTAATGTTGGGTAAAACAATGCATATGCATTCTAGACAGACAAAAATAACCATTGGTTGATTTGACGGAGTCTTTGATTGCGTGTTATTTATTTGCGATGATTCAGATCTGTATTGATGAGAAGAGCTTTCGAAGATCGGATTGTGTCGTACTTTTAGGGAGTGTTGGGCCGACTACATGTACTTTCATGGGACCATCCGACACAAACTTTTTAGTATAGGCACCCACTCGAGATCTATCTTAAATACCATTAAATTCCTTCACTCATTTCCATTCCTTTATTGTAAATAAAAGGAAGCTGCATGCAATCAGAACCTTTAAGTTCCGTGAAAACAGGCCATATTTTCCGCTCGAACCGGTAAATCGAACCTATGAGATATATTGTAAGATATAATAAGACTTTCTCCCAGTATTTACACCGTTTACTGAACTTGAGCGTCGTAAGAATAACATTAATGGGAGATTCGATATAAATAAACCCGCCACCAACTTGAAATACTAACCAGGGTAACCCCGGAAAACCATGGTCCCTTCACTCAAACTAACCTCGTCTCCACAATCTTCCTGAAGATATGAGGATGAAAATCACCAACGGGCCGAGTATATCCAGCTTCATCGTCAGCTGGGATTGAGGGAATCTGAACTTAACATCTCTCTGATCTTGCTAGTGGGGAATCTCTGTCACGATAGCTATGAAGCTACTAACATCGGCCTGTTCTGCGAGTTTCACCAAGAGTGAAGTCCCGATACCGAGGTAAATATCAAGTTGAAAAAAATGCCTAGTCGACCAGCCCTCACGGAGAACCTCCCATCTGCGTCATCGCGCTCTGGTGATATAACTTGCTTGCATGTGAATCTCTGGACCTTCTTCATGGTGGTTCGGTACGATTATTGTCCCGGCAGATCATAAGATCTTGTAGTCAAAGCTCCGTCCAACAGAATAGTACTACATACATACATGTGCCGACTTGAGCAGGTACATACATCTAGATGTAGGCAATGCAGTCGGAAGTCGGAACTGATAATTCGGCCAATTTCCGAGTAACGAGGATGGAAGCTGTGGAATTTCGCACTGATGGTCAGATCTTATCAGATCGTGATTTTCCGCGTATATTTTGATTTGGTGGGGTGCATATGTCGGAAAATAAAAGGAAGAAATCACCGAAGTCCATGTAGGTAGTCTAAAGATCATACGCAGGTAGAGTACGAGGTCAGGGGGTAGAATTCATAGGGGAGGGTAACAAGCGAGGTTAGACTCTCCCTTAATCTTAATCCCATCGTGGGGAGATTTCCACTAAGAAAGTCCATCGATCCCTGTTCCCAGGACTACTGTTATAGTTAGATGCCAGTTTTCTGTCTTCGATCAGGTAGGTCGGAAGGTGGCCATGTCAATCAAGCGATTTTAACAGCTGCTTGCTCAGAAGCTTTGGCCGAGTGAGGAACGATGATGGGACCACGGCTGCAGTGGTACAGAAAGGTTGCGAGTTCCCAAATGGTAAACACATCCGATTAAAGTTTGTCCCACGCTAATTTTTTCTACCCATCAAACTGATAACTAAATGCGCATGTACATACATGTACCCGTATGTGGAGTAGGTATTACATACGCTGTTATGTTGTGATGGAATAACAAACAAGTTTCTATTGGACCCCCCCTGGGGGTTCGTGATTCGGGAAGCAACTTCTCCATTGGCTTTCATCCTCCGCTCTCTAAGTCTGTCAACGTTCAAACGCATAGCAGCAGCTTATCGATCACTAACCGAAAAGTTGAAACATAACTGTCATGCCTGCCAGTTCCCCACGCGCATTGGTCAGCTTCATCCATTCCGTATCAATTGGTAGCTGAGTGCTGTACCGTGCGGAACCAACCACCAAGATCCTGGATCCATCAAGAGGGATGGATGAATCGTGGATTATCACACAGGGAGCTCGGGATCGCAAAACCTATCAGGCTCTTCTGTCTTATCAAAGGCAAGCTGGATACCCATAACGTGAACATCCCCGGTACCTGCGTGGGGTACATGCGCAGCAAACTACTTGATCTCAATATTTCCCCGCAAAAACAAAATATGGGAATTCTCCTGCTTCACAACACAAACACATCATGGGGGAGGTTCAGAGAACCACATCACGAAAGTGAGGTCATGTCATATGCTGTAATGTTCTCGGGCACCCCCGTCTGGACGGACCTCCGAGAGGTGGGTGATTGGTAACGATAACTGTCTAATAAGACCATGTTTCAATCACAGATTCGGTTCGGCCTCGAGTATTTGGATTTCGGTATGCCATGCCATGCCATGCCATGATCCAGCCCCTATATTATCTTTCTCTATTACACTCTGTCACGGATATTAACTAAAGAGGACGCAAGGACGTAAGAGCTAAATATGTGTTTATCAACACCGCTGAGGCTATCTACAGCTGCAGTACTTTACTTGGATATTGATTCATCTCGGCATATATCTGCACGACGTTTTCGAGTGAGTAGTCATGACTACCCAGCTCCCGGGCCCAAGATCGGGGAATACTGTTCACAAAGCTTCCAGAAATCCCAAATGTGCAGTGCCACTGTCGTCATAAGCTTACGAACAATGAGTTTGCAATGCATAAATATATCACGATCATTTTTCTTAATCTCCGGGCATGGACTCTTGCTGTCATCAATATGCTAGTTAAAACTGGAACATCACCCCCTAACGGACGTGTCACGGCATTTCCATCGGATGTAACAATTTATGTCTTTCCTACAGACCAAAACTACATGTAGCCACTGAGATCTTCGGAATCAAGATGCGGATAGTTCGCGAGTGTGAGTTGGTTGTTGTGTAGTTCCCCCTCATAGCAACGAGGGCACCTATCACAGACACCACGTTTATCAACGCCAGTTACATGCCAAGCAGCGTCATCTGAACATATATGCACGAGGGAGGGATTGATGTACCCAAGTATCCAGACTTTGGGTAGCAATCGAAAACTAGATGTTTATGTTCTACTCTAGCATCATGTGAATGATGTCACGGCGTGAGGCTCAATCTAACCGCATACCATCTTGGCAGGTCCCCTTTTGATGTGACGGGAATGCAGCAGTGCAGCGGCATAAACAGTGCAGTAAGGTGTTACCACAACAAGGATAAATGTTAATAATAGAGTAGATTACCTATCAAACATACGGTCTCATCGGTAGGACCACCAGGTGAGATTTTTCAATAGAATCTACCACCTAAGCTTTCGAAGCTTTGGCTTGCATGGGGGTAATAAAAGGCGCTTTGATATCGGTAATCTGTGAGATTTGTGTGGGTAGGTGAGTTAGAAGCCGAGAAACATCTCGCGTCCAGTGCACCCCCCTACGCATCTCCTAACTGCTCATGTATGTATATGTACTTACAATATGCATTACATACAGCAGCGTTTAACTGTGAATGGGGTATTATCATAGATGATCGGATGATTCATTTCTCGTGATATTTCTCCATCTGGCTGCGGGTATCACAAGTATGTCCGCAATGCTATTATTACATGCACCGAAGGCCGCCCGATCCTCGGAGTTTCCTCAATAAAAAAAAAAAAGTTAAGCTTGCTCTAGCCTTTGGCTATAGAAAAGAAAAGGAAACAAAAACCAAAAAAAAAAGCTCACCGTAGGTAGGGCATTCCGGAGTTCGTGCAACTGGTGTTGGGTCGCTTTCGTGCCCTTTCGCCGAGCCGCACGACCCCTGAGAAGAAGGCTGCCCACCCCGGTATCAACAAGGCACGGATTGCATTCACACCCTCGAGGTTAGCGGGGGGGTACGAGTCTGTCGCTGAAAAGCCTTGGGTTTTCTAAACTCCGAAGAGGATAGACTGTGGGGTGCGTTACTTTCTACAAGTAACGAAAGCGTTTATAGATTTCTTAATAAGTGTTACTCTTGGCTAGGACGAACCTCCACCATAATAAGGAATTATTTCGGGACTGAGTTTCGTGAAACCGCAATGATGCTATGAACTGCGAAGGAAAAGGAGGATGAGTCTGGACTTTGTGAATGACGGAAGGGCAATAATATCAATTGCTCAATTCCACGTTCTCGATGATGTCGTTTGTAATTTGGCGAACGAAAACTAAAAAAAAACGAACGAAGATTTCATGATCAGCGGAGAGGAAACCAACAATATTGCTGAGACCTGGGAGGGCACCCGCGGTATTACAGAGGAAAGAAGAGAGAAAAAGCAATATTTGATATAGCACAAACACGGTAAACCGGGGCACAATCTGTCCAATGCGGATACCCGCCCACCCGCACAATGTGTCTCATTTATCAACATATCTTGCAACTGGCTCATAATCAAAGGGAAACGCCATAGCTTTCTTTCACTCCCATTTGTTCCGAATAATCGAGAGATCATTTACGATGACTATCAATGATATGAGTCTCCATCCAGCCATTCAGGCCGACATACAGTTCAGAGAGTTCCTGTGTTGGCACTGACAACGATAACGACAGCAGTAGCTAGCGGCAATGAGCAGCCACCATCACCATGTAGTACCACCATCACTACAACCACAACCACCAACAGTAACAGGAACCCCCACAAGGATGTATGTATGTATGAGAGCTTTGGGCTTTGACAGATCGCCGGGCTGACCCACAAGCCCCTGTAAAATGCCAGGACAATAAAGTCTGTGTGCCTGTGTGCCTGTGTGTCTGTGTACCGGACAAGGGTGAAGTCCAAACGCCCAAGGCCAGTTACGAGCGAGTATTCCATGGAAACGAGCCAGCCACGACCATACCAGTCTGTTTTCAGCTTGCGGCACGGTTCAACACCGTCACTTTACCTGGAAATTCCAGAAGGACCCCTAACGCATACCGGTTTTGCATAGAGAAATGCCGGAGATTTATATAGGTATATGTAACCCTCGGCTTGCTCCACCTCCACAGCTTTCATTAAAGTAAGAAAATAATAACCCCGTTATTCTTTTTTACCATATTACCACGCCGTACCCGCCATCCCCGTCTTGAAAAGTACATATTATTATTTGTACTAGTACTATCATTTCGTCTGGGTCTCTATTAGGAAAGAACAAAAAACAAATATCTCCTCACACCCCCCGGATTTGTTCGACCTGAACTTGCAGTATGTTCTTTCAGCCCCATAAAAACCAACACAACCTTACTCACAGTTATTAGAAACTACATATATCCACTGCAGCCCAGCAGTACTTCAACAACAGTTCCTATCGTATTGATATGCTGTTTCGATTAGTATAACAATCGCCCAACATGGTCTTCAAGCCGGATTTTTCGTTCAACCCTCGTCCAGTAACACCTGGCGCGATCATCTCAAGACCCTGTTCGCCAAAGGCCAGTCTTGATAGGAAACCACATAAGGTGGAGGATGGTGAGGTTTCTCCATCAAGCAAAAATATTTCAATCATGTCATCGTCACCATGGTCTTCAAAGCGATCTTCAATGACGTCCATTGCTTCATTGAAGAAGCAAAATTACCAAAATTTACCTCTAGCATTTGAAGATGAACTTATTCCTTCACCTGCTGCCACTTTGATTGAGGAGGATGATGAGTTTTCGGAGTACAGCGACGAAGAAGTAGAAGTTGTTGGGAGGATAGAAAAGATTGAGAAGATGAGAATCAAGGAACAGGGTCCCCTTTCAATCAACACAAAAACTTCCATATTCAAAGGATTCCACCCATTCCAATTCCATAGCAGCAAGAAGAGGGACGATACTCCACCAAGCCCTGTAGTTCCAGTCGCACGAACACCTATAACACCTATACCTCTTACACCAAACGCTCGTGCGACAGCACATTCTCGATTCCGGCTTTTCAAATCAGCTCCCAAGCGCAACAAGAGCGTCAGTCGCCGACCACCACCTCCACCACTCAATCTTCAGGCCCCGAAGAAGGTATCGCCTCCATTTTCCATCAGAAAGGTTAATGAGCCTGTTCCTCCCCTAGAACCAGCAATCGTACTGGACACTTCGATGCTCGCCCCGGAAGAGTACGACTTTTCACTATCTCCAGAAGCTGGCGTACAATTGCTTTCTCAAACCCTTGAAGAGGATTGTGACGATGAATTTCAAGAGAAAGAGGAAATCTACAGAAGTTACAGTTATCAGAACGAAGAACCCACTCACCGAGAAATCCCACAGTTGGAAGAAGTCACCCCCATATATTTGGCAAGCCCTTGGTTTGATGCATCCAGAGGAGTATCACCGATGCCAAAAGCCATAGAAGTAGACACCACAGCCATCAAATTCCCTAAAACATACCTCCCAATACCACAAAACATCTTCGAGAGTATTCCAAGCTCTCCCATCTTCTCACCCTTGGCACCAAAGGATAACATCACCATATCAGTACCTGAATATAAAGAGATATTGGAGTCATCAGATCTAACTACTCAGCTCCCGTCACCCCGTTCAACAACATCATCGTTTCTATATGATGAAGACGATGCGTCATCTGATATCGAGGACTCGCCGGCGCTTGTCTACACGAAAAGGCCTTCGGTTCCTAATTCGCGGAAATCTTCCATTGCAACATTTTTCTGCCGCGGCGGACAAAACGCGATGCAAGCCCGCAACGACTCTATCGGATTTGGGGGGCTCACCGGCGATCAAGTCAAGATCATCGATGATGCCGAGTCGATCTATTACCCAGGTATCAGCTCTTTGAAGATAAAGACATCCTGGCTCTACAACAGCCCAACTGGAAATTACTCCTCAGACGAGGATGATAGTGACAGCGACTATGGTGTCGAGGAGGAGGCCTACCCAAGGAGGTCGCTACCAATCACTCCAATGCACAGAAAACCAAGCATGACAAGCTCGCTCACATCCACCCCGGAACTGATGTTGTCTTCAGCATCATCGGTTTCTTCATATGGTCAGATACTTTCGACTCCACCGAGGAGAATGGATCGGAGGAGGACAGCAAGCTCAGATTGTATGATGCTCGAGGCACTGGAGGAGATGGAGGCAGCAGGGTTGAAACATCAGTCGGAGGAGAATTCAAAAGGACTTGGGCTTTTTGAGGATTTTGATATCAGTTCCGAATGGGCTGACACTTTATGGGAGATGGATGTGGAAGAACAGGTGGCTGGTTGGAGTTTGGCAACACCACAAGTGCCGCTTATTGGAATTGCACGGTGATCACGAAAGGAGGAGAGGGTTGGCAAGAGGAGCAAAACAAAAGGTGACAAGTCTCTAAACTATTTATTTCATTTGTATTGGTGTTTTTTGTCTATTTGTTGTCCGGATTTCATTTGTTGGGGGGCGGGAAGGTGTCATAGGAAAGGATGGGTGGTTGGGTTTGGAGTCTTGCTGTGTTTTTGCGCCTTGCTTGTTATTATCTCTATCTATTTTGTCCAATGGCAGACATGTCCAAGTCTTTTCTTTGTGGGGTATGTTTTTAGAGGACAGGTATATCCAACCGCGGCCGGAGGATATTAAATTGGGGAAGGTGGGGGGACAACCGGCGTATCTAGCTTTCTTTACTTATTACCACATTTTAATAACATACTTCTATACGGAAGCAGATCTTTTTGTCTTTAAAACTTAGTTTCATTGCGGTTTGAATTGGATGTTGGGGATCGAGATTGATGTTGCATTTACGGATTTGTATTGGTTATTTGATTAAAAAGTACATGTAGTTCTTCCTCGAAATTGATGCTTGGTTAGTAATTTGCTGTGAACGTTTTTTTTATTCATTTCCTGGGGCGTATATCTGTAAAAATAGATGTAGTCAAGTTTTTAATAGATTTCCCATTCGCAATTCTGGTCTCGTTTAAACGACAGGAGATGTCGTTGAAGTTGACGTGCATTGTCTCACCTCACCCAGCATTGTGGTCTGGGGAATTCACAGGAGGGATAGGGTTACTTTTGGAGGATCGGTTGATAGTTTATTCTTGTGCAGTTGCCTCTTGGCTGTAATGGCCGTCTTGAAAGAAGATTTCCACATCTCAGTCTCGATTTCCCTTTCCATTCCAACGGAAAGCGGTGTCTGGTTCGAATCCTGTGGTCGTCAACTCACCCATGCGAGTAATCCATGGTGCTGATTGGCGCTAAGGGCGAGAAATATCCTTCAGGGAAGCAATTCTGCAGAGAGTTCTCCCCACAGGGTGGCGGCGCCGGATTGCACTGCTTTCCGGTATGGGAAGTCGGGACAGAGCGGAATACCAACTTTCGCCCGGTATTTTTGATTTTATGTTTTGTTTTATTGCATCGTGGGATTGGATTGGGGATGGGGGGAATTGTTTGTGTGCACATGCGCGATCGGGGGGAGAGCGCAATCTCTTGCAAGGTGTGTGTGTGAGTTTCGCTTGCGGGCATGCGGTGATACACGTTTATTTTATCGGTGGGAATGGTCATTTCCCATTTCCCCTAAGGCTTAATTGACCGAGCTTACCGCCATATCTATATCCATATCGACATATCACATATTGGTGCGACCGACGTACAGGCAGGAGACACAGGTACGATCAATCGTTCAAAGCTACATGTAGGTAATACAATATCCCTCTTTCTTTTACCGAATGCTTCACCACCAATTCCGACGGTCTGTCTGTCTCTATCGTGTCTTGTCTACCCCTAGCCAGTAATATGCTTAGCTGCGATTAATAACGTCCCACGTTCGCCGGCCGGCCTTTCTACCGAAACGCCTTACACGCGCGCTCACTTAACAGCTCCACACCGTCTGTCTGGCTGTCTGTTCCTCGAGTGTGCAGCTGGGGGCGCAGTGCAGTTGAAGGTTCTGATATATCTTGCCATCTCAGCCTCTAACTACGTACCTGACATGACTACTTCTCAGCCTCCTCGATGCGTGGGGGTCAGAACTCTATTTTTTGATGCTGGTGGTGCAGCAGAGTGGGCCTTGGCAGGTACCGCGCATATGATGATGATGTGCGTTTTTCATATATAGTCGCGAAGGAATATATAGATTGCAATCGGCTGGGGTCGGGTTGGGCACTGTTGGTTTTATATTGTATTGTGGGGTTTGGGGGGGTTATATTGGGAGCTACTTTACATGGCTAGCTAGGCGGCTATGTTGGTTGGATGGAGGGAGGGGTGGCGGTGCTGGAGGCGGTATGTATTGTGGGTCCTTCAGGGCGTGACATGTGCGTGACGGACTGGTGATGGGCGCTGGGGTGGAGGTGGGGGCAGGTGCTGTTGAGATGCGGAGCTGATGAGGAGAGAGGGGGGGTGCTGGTCATCACTAATCACTCGGTAGAGTGGGGGTGGGCGCTGGTTTAATAAAAACTACTCCATATATACGAGACCCGGAGTTCGCGAACCTCAGGTCGCACTGGGTGTCGGGGGCGAGATACATATATTGCGCCTACTATACTAATCAGTACTACCACCCTTCCTCGGGGTTCAATTGTAGAAGCACACTGTTGACTTCGCGAGTCGCGACCTCAGGCTGTACTACTGTCGATCGAAATGAAAGCTTAGTGCTGAGTGTGGTCCAGACCTGGCCGGGCCCACAGTCATAAGCCACATGCACATCTGGCAATCTTTATCAGGAACGCAGGCCGCCCAACACACAAAGAATACAGGGTTACCTTTTTTTGCGTAATAGGCACGCGCATTCTTATGTGATCGACGAGTGACCAGCTGTGACCCCAGCCGAACGGTTGGGGGCCGGGCTGATATACCCGGGTCCGGGAAAGCCGAGAATGGCGAGAATGTCCTTTGATGCCGCTACTACACGTGAACCTCAGCCTTGTGGAGGGAGGGTTGTGGTATCGTCAAATTTTGTACGTCGGAGAGGCCGATCTCTTTGACAGGATTTGCAGCGCAAGCCACTCAACATATTAGTGCCCATTTGGTATATAGAGTCTTTGTGGCCTGCGCCATCAAACGGCCCTACAATACCAGCCTTAGCTGGTATTTTCCAGCTGAATATATTTGACGGTATTTCCGGAAGAATAGATTGCAGGGCAGGGCTAGATGTGGTTGCTGTTTAGTTTTCAGCCCTATATGCATGTACTTTATATATCGGGTCCCCCTTGTCGCTGCTGTGATATGATCTATCACTCTGGCCTGCTGAACCCAACTACTACATGTAACTGCCACCACGCACACATACTGACGGAATCAATCAAAAACAGCCGAACTTAACACTCTATATAGTGAGTCAGTGAGAAAACAGCTGAACATGAGTCTAAGACAAACAAATTCACTCATATAATCCTTGGGGAACTCCTGCTACTAACTGCTTGTCGGATTGTGCGACTGAACGGCGGGCTTTAGTTGGTGATTGTATGAGTTATTCTCCGGCCGTGGCGTGATATCGATATGCGTCTTTCGAGTTCATCTAGTGCCCTGTGGGATATGCATGCTCCCCGTCAGCAGTGAATACGCCCGTGACCGAGTAGAGACCACCTACTTCTCAATGACGCATGGTCAGCTAGGTGTATGCGTCGGGCCATGTTAACATTTAGAGTAGTCTCCCGTCGAATTGTGATATCGTGTAACGCGTTGTCGAGTCCCTTATGGCCGGTGACCAGTGGACTTAAACCTACATGTAGTACTAGACTAGTCTCGATGGAGATTGAGAAGGGCATTTTTTCTCTTCAAAACCTCGTTCATTCCTGATGTCTATATATGTGCTAGATAGGGTTTTTGGTATATTAGAGTTGGTTGATTGGCCGAGCCCGTGATGGGGTGCGACCTAAGAGTACAGAAAACTTCGATATGCCTGATGAACATATATTATACCTCATCATTATAAAAATATGCCGAGACTTAAAAAAAAAAATCTCTCCTAGCCCGTCCATAAAAAAAAAGAACAAAAAGTAGCATTGATGGTCCAGCCATATCTACTACTCCCACCCCTGGATTGAACCCTGAACCTTCTGTAGCCGAAGGCAAGGCACAATCTCTCGGTGTCCGTCCGGAAGGCGAGTGTTAACCGTTAGGCCACTCGCCCATGTGTGTTATCGGCTAGAGGTGATATTTGAACGCCAAGGATAAGCGATAAGCTCTACAATGTAGCTCGATTATTCGCGTTAGTGATAGAATAATACAAGTTGGAACTGTACACACGCGCTCATGAAGGTTCGATCCGTTGTAAGAGAGCATGTCATCTGGTTTGTAGGGTGAATCATACGTTGTCACTCGCCTGGGTGTCTTTCCGTCTTGGCATGGGCCACTCCTTCCGCCACCACAACTACAACTACAACCACAACCACAACCGCCATAAGATTTTTCTATTCCCCATTATCGCCAGGATGACTGACTTTCTTTATCTAGGACGAAATATAGAAGTGGCTAATCCAGTGGGTTCTGAGGGTTCTGCAGACCGTTGAAGGATTAGCATATGAATAGCCAACTTGAGAGGCCTATATACGATTCTCGATTTTTCCATAACATATTGGCTCGTCCCGGATTGACCCGTATCACTGGTCATTATGCCTGTGCTACTTACTGGAGAGGCACCACGGGTTGGAGTCTTGTGCATAGGCTTCCTACAATCTTGCCAAACATGCGAAATAGTCTAGGCCGAATGGTTCTGCTCCAAGACCACCCTGTACCACAGTCTCGAGTGGGACACACTACTAGTAACGATCGTCTTCGATCATTCGAGTTGAAGGGGGTGGGATGAATGACAAGAGTAGGTTTGGCAGTTATGAGTGGCTGTCGCTCTGTTTGTCGTTTTGGGAAAGAAGGTATTGGATCCAAGATGGCACGTTGAACGACTATGTACCAAGTGTTTAGAGTTACTCTACCAATTAGTACTATCTGTAGCTGGGCTTTACTATTCCCGACGCGGCGACGGGCTTTGCTTGCTCAACGATGGCTCATGATCAGCTTGAGTCGCAGGCGCTGTTCCGGTTGATGCTAACGGGATATGACCAGCTTAATTAGTTTAGGAGCGCGAGATTATTAAACATGGAAGAGCCATCAATTTGACCGAACAAGATAACAGATGAGAGAGATCGTGTAACAGCTGGTTTTGACTTTCCAGTGCCCAAGGATAAAAGGGAATCCAATCTTGCAGCTATAAATAGTAGGCGGGCTATAATTCTGAGTGGGAAAAGAAAGAGCTAGAAGAGCTGGGAGAGTAACTGGAAAAGGTCTACCACCTAAACCTGTGGGACCTCCCTGAGAGTACGAGCCCCACCCACGATCGCAGTCACCGCGCGAGGATAACTACCGGTGGGAAGAGTTGGCTCTCTCGGTGAATGGGCCGTCTTATAATATATTGTAGCGTGTGTAGTTTATATTTAAGTGATATCTGCCAGCTCATGAGCCACGGCGGCCGATGATACGAGCATTTTGTCTACAGTTAAGAATGGTCTTCTTTCTTGGAGAAGACTACATGTAGTATACTACTCGTAATTTCATAGCGTTTGTGAACACAACTGGGTTGCATACCCGCAAAATCCTGCATGAGGCTCCAGATTTTGGTGTATGCAGACCCAGCTATGTTCACAAACGCTATGAAATTACGAGTACTAGAATACTATAATTAGAACATTTCTAAGAGAGCCGGCCTTCCTGCAAAAATTCCTGTCGGGCCTATCATATCATCGACACTTTGCTTCAGATCTAAGAGTTATTGCAAACCCTAACCCGCAATATCGAGTGATTTCCTATGAAGGTATTTTCTGTTACTAGAGGGCTCACAGGAAAGGCCCTTCATACTTATAATTGTTGTTTTTTACAATCTTTGCTATCTGTTATTAGTACTGTGTCAAGACAACGAGTTTGGTTGTCTTGTTATAAAAGGAGCCTGTTCCTTCTTCTCTCGTTGATACTTTAATTCAGTTATACAGTTCGGTTCTCTTCCGTCTCTTATAAATTTGCGACCTGACCAACAATCATATATCACAAGAGATAGAGATACACCCAGTGATCAAGTTCAAGCTGTCGTTTGAGGAATACGATAACCGAGTAAGTACCGGCCTTCATAGGCCACAGTTGGAGCAAGAATTCTAAAGAGAGCACGCGCATACGTATTAAGACCTGTCAATGACACGAGGCGCCAAAGATAGTTATCTGGCGTGCGCGTGTTAATTCTATACTTTGAGGTAATGCAGCTACAGCTTGATGACACGCCGGAGGACAGTGTATGATGAACTTTCATATTATGTAGGTAGGTTGATGCCTTTGCCTTCTAATCTTCAACCAAACCTGTCTCTCAACGTTCATGGTTTTTGGGGGTCAATGTTTGACTGCTCAGCTTGAAGAAAGGGGGACGGGGCCATAATTTATACATACCGTAACTACATACTTGCGTCTTCTATAATCTGGCTCGAACCTTTGATATTTGATGGCATAGGAAAACTTCTTTTGATGATGCTTCTACAATTTCCATTAATCGGGCCTGGGATGAGGGGATACTCGCCAAAAATAAAGTCTGTGGATGAATTAAGCACCTGGCCTAATGGTTGCGTAGTCTATGACAATATCACACTACCCCAGAACTACCCTACATACATCCACCGCCACTTGCAGATAAAATAAAGAAAATTAACTATTTCAAAAAGCAATTTGTGTCGTCTCTCTTTTCCCACCTTTGCCCCTCGGGCCAAGTATATCCTTTCCCTCGTAACTGTTGCGTAATCTGTGATGAGTTATTCCTATCATCTACCTACATATATATAACACCGTCCTAAATAACTACAAACAAACGCGCAATATCATACATACATCCCTACACCGCAGCCCTCAAACCGCTTCCTTCCGCCGCCCAAACACATCTCTCCAGAACTCTTTAAACCCATAATTCGGTTTCTTGCTGTCGTACACCGCCGCACTCTCGCCAGCCAAGCTCTCCAAGATCCCGCTTTCGCCCTTCCGCTCCATCGAGAATGCCGATGTGCTTGCGCTTGACCTGGTAGCCCGCGCCCTGATTTCTCCTGCAATCTGCGGCGCGCACTCCCGGAAGCAATTTTTGAGCTCCCGCTCTAGGGAGAAGTACGTCTTCTTTGCCAGCTCGGGGGCCATGAGGTTGTAGGTGCGGGTGATGGAGTTGAGGTTCTCGATCGATAGGTTGTGGTATGAGGCCTCAGTCCTTTCCCACACCGGGTCTCTGAACGGCGCCGTCGACCCGCTCGTCGCGGGGGTTTCTTCTTCCTCGACAACCTGCTTGCCTTCCCCAATCCTGGCCGCCCTCTCCTCAAGCCTTCCCAGGCGCTCCTCGGCCTCCGCATACCTCTCCGCCCTCCTGCACTGCTCCTCCAGCCCCGTCACCTCGGCCGCAATAGTCCTGCTCACATGCCGCTTCCACTCGACCCGCAAGCGCTCCCGAAACGTCCTCGCCGCGCCCGCCAACTCCTGCTGCTTCTCAATCCACGGCGGCACAATGTCCTGGTCCTTGATGATCCGGTTCAGCAGATACTCGGTCGTATCCAGGAACGGGCTCTCGGCCGCGTGGTCCCGCACCAGCGGCTTCCCGCGCATCGAGTTGTGCCGAAACGCGCCGCGCTGCCGCGCCTCCTCGATCCTCTCGTCGGCCAGCGACCCGAGCGCATTGACGGACGCGACCGCCGCCGCCGCCGGCGCCCCAGGCTGGAACCGCTCCCGGAACTGCTCCCGGATCTCGGCCTTGTCGGCCTCCGTCGCCGCGTCCTTGACGAGCGAGTACTCGGCCGTCTTGTCCCGCGCGCGGGCGATGCGGTCGCCGCTGCTCCGCGGCTGGTGCCGTCTCGCCGGGCGGAGGAGGAGGAGGTCGATGTTTGCTGGCTTTGCGCTACTACTACCGCGGAGGTCGTGCTTGAGCGGCTTGTGCGCGTCGACGAGCATGCGGAGGACGCTGTCGGAGGGGGACTCGGCACCGGTCCAGGGCTGGGCGGAGGCGATGTCGCGGGTGTGCTTGGGGGCGTAGGCGGGGAGGTTTACGGTGGCGGTGGCGGTGGCGAGGGCGGCGGCGGCGATGCGGGCTTCGAGCGTGCGCTTTAGGTCTGAGGGGAAGGTGTTTTCGGAGGCGATCTGTGGGGCGCGCCGCGGGGAGGCGGTGAGGGCGTCTTCGGCCATGGCGGTGAAGCGGCGGGTGAGGGCGGACTCGGACTCGGACTCGGACTCGGACTTGGACTCGGGTTCTGGTTCTTCATTTTGGGGTGCTGGAGGAGGGCTCTGGGTGGCGTTGGGGCTGGGGCTGGGGCTGGGGCTGGGGCTGGAACTCGAGAGACGGTGCTGCTGCACGAGCTGGACACCGGGATGGGGGCGGGATTTGTATACAGAGCGTCTTCCGAGAAGTTTCAAGGACATGGAGATGTAGACTGTGGCTGTAGATGTAGACTAGTTGTGGCTGTAGATGTCGATGGCAGAGCGTGGATGAGAGAGAAGAGAAGAGTGGAGCAGAGCAGAGCAGAGCAGAGCAGGCACGGGCTGCTGTTGGAGGGGGGAAGGAAGGGAGGGAAAGGATCCGGCAACACACACGGCCCCACGTCGCCAGCCAGCCATCCATCCATCCATCCCCGCCCCGCACACACGCACACACGCACACACGCACACACACACACCCGCAGCAGCCCCCCCCAACCCCAACCATCTACATACCCACAAACAGCCCCCCCCCCGTCAAGCGCGCGTCCGAAGAAGCCCAGCTGATACACGATACCGCCAGCAACATGTCCACAGCCCGCGAGTTCTCCACCGACCCGGCCCTCCAGCAATTCGGCGAATGGATCATCGCCAACGGGGGCTTCATCCAAGAATCCCTCGTCTTCACCTCGCCCGGTAGGTACATGTACTTACAACCAACTAGGGCCACAACCCCCTCCCTCCACCCCACCCACCAGCTAACACACATCCCCATCCCCAGAATCCAAAGTCGGCAGCCAGATCCTCACAACCGCCGCGCTCCCGCCCTCCTCAAGGCTGCTGACATGCCCGCACGCGCTCGCAATCGACTACCAGAAGGTCAAGGCCCACTACTCGCCCGAGTTCCTCGAGGCCGTGCCCCCGCACGCGGCGCTGTGCACGTTCGTGGTCGGCGAGCGGCTCAAGGGCGACGCGAGCTTCTGGGCGCCGTACCTGCGCATCCTGCCGCGCGCGTTCGACACGCCGCTGTATTTCGACGGCGAGGACATGCGGTGGCTGGCCGGGTGCAATCTGAATGCGGAGGAGGTCAGGACGCGGAGGAGGGCGTGGATGGAGGAGTGGGAGGCGGCGGGGGAGGCGTTGAGGAGGGAGAGGGGTGTGGGGTCGAGGGCGGCGAGGGAGTATACTTGGTTAGTACTAGTGGGACCCTGGATTGTGGGTGGGGGGCTAATTGGTGCCAATGATTCTTAGGGAGCTGTTTCTTTGGGCGGCTACGGCGTTCTCGTCGCGGTCGTTTCCGGGAAAGTTGTTGGATTGGACGACGGAGTCCTCGATGACGGAGATTGATGATCCGGACTGTCTGCCGGCGCTGTTTCCGCTCATTGATTCCGTGAACCATCAGCCTCTTACAAAGATCACCTGGGCGCCTGGTGACAGTGCTCTCAATGTTGTCAGCGGCGATGAGATCCCCGCCGGCGGAGAGGTGTGCAACAACTACGGACCCAAGAGCAACGAAGAACGTTTGTCCGCCGTATTCCCCCCCAAAACCTCTATCTCCATACTAACAGTAGTCCTTTGGCAGTGTTGATGGGATACGGCTTCACCCTGCCCTCCAACCCCTTCGACACCGTCGTCCTCCGCTTCCTCCCCGTCCTCTCCCCCGCGCAGGAGTCGATCCGCGCGCTCCAACCCGCCTCGCCATTCCCAGACGGCATCCACCACCTCTCCCCGCGGAACCCAAACTCGCTCTACCCCGCCTCCCTGCTCAACCTCTTCCACCTGCTGACCGCCACCGCCGACGAGCTCCCCCTCCTCGCGGCCGCCCCCGCCGCAGACACAATCACGCTGCGCAACACCATCGCGACGCACCGCCAGCTGCTGCTCGCGCTCCGCCGCAAGCTCGACGCCTTCCCTGCCGAAAGCACCCTCCCGCCGCTGTCGAACGGCAGAAGGCGCGCGGCAAAGGTGTACCGCGACACGCAGGTGGCGATCATGGCTGCGGCGGTGGCCGAGTCCGAGGGCGTGATCCGCGGCATCCTGGAGGCGGGGAAGGAGGGCGTTGTCACGCTGGAGTCGGTGCTCGGGGACCCGGTGTATGCTGCGGCCGTGGAGGCGTGTTTTGGGAGTGTGGTGCCGCTGGAGCTGCAGATGGCCGGGCATGAGGATCTGGTGTTTACGTTGTTCCTCTGCTGGCGCTATCTGCAGCGCGACCGGCTGCCCGGGGCGTGGGGGAGGTGGTTTGCGCGCCTTTTGGAGGCGGGGGAGTGTGGGAGGCCGGAGGATGTGAAGGACGACGAGGAGGAGGAGGAGCTCGAGGAGGTGGGGGAGCTGTATAAGGCGTTGTTCCCGGCTGTGGTTGGGGCGGCGCCGGGGGTGTTTGCGGGGGAGGGGTGGACGGAGGGGTTGTTGAGGTGGGGGATGAGGGTGTTTGGGAGGGAGAGTATTGGGGTGAGGCTTGAAGGGAAAGAGGCGGAGGTTGTGGTTGTCTGCATTGAGTGAAAAGTGTTGAGATAGATAGATAAATGTGTAGCTGCTTACATGCCCAGTAGATAAGTAGGTAAACGGCTATGTAATATGATCCATCAGCTCACGGGCAAATGATAGGACGGATTAAAAAAATTCATAGAACCCCCCCCCCCCCCCCCCCCTCTTTGAAGGCTAATAGGTAGAGAAGAGCTTCCAGAATTTCAGCCCTACATGTAATTACCACTATGTACCAGATCAGTGGTCCATAGAGTAGTCGATATCTCCTTGACACTTATTAGGTTTTGCTATGTAGGCTACGTAGAAATTCCCCAAACGTTCAAATCCCAGTTCCACCAGATCCGTGTGGTGTCCCATAGATTGATTAGATTTCAGGAACACATCGTGGCTTTCCCCCCCAAGACGTTTAATGTTTAATGTCTAATAAAGCCCCCCCCCCCCCCAAGCCATAGCCAGTGAATCGGGTACCTGCATCTAATGCCCCCCGCGGCCTAGCCTAGCCTAGTCCAGTACAGAATTGGCCCGTCAAATCCGATGTCAAAAAAAAAAAAAAAAACCCCGAAAATAGAATCATTTACGCACGGATACTCGGCACCACCACCACCACCTCTACTCTAATCAACCTGCCCCTCCCTCTACCCACCCACTTGGTCGGGAGGGTTTCTTTTCTTTGGGGGGGGGGGGCGGGGGGGAATTGAGTTTAGGTTATCAAATCAGTACCCCCGATCGTAGGGCCCTCGGGGAAGGGGTTCAGGGAAAGGAATCACGGGTAGTTCGGAATGGAAAAAAAAAAAATAAGAGTCAGACCTTTGGAATGCTACGTTTTTGTGATTGCACTGCCGATCACTCGGCTCGACTGGTAAACCTGATTCTAGAACCCCCCCCGGTGCAGATTGGGGGGGGGGGGGGGCTGGATAAAATAGAACCACAAGCTTTGATCTCCAGATGGAGGTACTGCATGGAGTAAAGGGGAGTTGCGGTTGTGTGTGTGTGTGTCGCGCGCGCGCGTGAAGGATGCAAATTCGGAATTTAAGGGTCCAGTTTAGAGTTTTAAGTTTTAAGTTTTTTTTTTTTTTTTTTATATTTTTCTTTTCTTTTTTCTTCCTATGCTTTCCCTTTTTCGCCATAAAAAACAAAATCACCGGTAGATAGAGTAGGTAGGTAGAGAGTGCAGCAGAACGTAGGTGGAGATTTAGGATTTCGAGTCAGTCAGTGCTCAGTAACCTAACGGGTTGTACTTGAGTGGTTGTGGGTAAGTGGTGCCAAGACGCCGGTATTATTGAGACAATGTTAGACTTTTGGGGGGGGAGTGGTCCAGGTCAGTCAGCTGATTTATTGACCGTGTCTTTCGGGACTTTTGGATTTGGAAGGGGCGGTGTTGAGGAAAGGGGTGATGGATGGTACGGATATGGTGACTGTGGTGGTGTTTTTTTTTTTTTTTTTGGCTTGGTGTGTATTGCGTCTTTCGTATTGCGTATTAAGTGGTTGGCTTGCATGGTGAGGTTGGTTGTACTTGATGTTCTGGTTGTTTATGATCCCACGCAGAGTACTAGTAAACTGTTCGTACCTGCAGTAGTAAGTATTACAACGTCAGTAGTAGAGCAGTACATATGCAACGGCGTGAATCCACAACCAGAATCTCCACATCCACCTCCGCATTCCCCTCAAAGCCTCCCGGGACAGGTAAAAAAAAAAAAAAAAAAAAATTACTAGTAAAATACGGGTACCTGAGCTAAACCTCCCGCGTGAGCCAGCGCCCGGTGCTCGAGGGTCCGGTCCCTCCAAGTTATTTTTGATTCTCCTCTCGTCCTCCCCCCCCCGGTGATTCTTCCACCCGGCAAGAGACAACCACCAACCTACATGCGAGTTAGTAGTTCACGATTTCTTTTCTCCGGTCTTGTGTGGCACGGTGGTTGAGGACTGTATATAGAGAATTGAACCCGCCGGTCCACCATGTGTTTTTTTGTTCTCTCTCTTCCTTATCCAGTTGTTTGTCGAGTACGTCCCCTACGCGCGTGGTTCATCAGCGGGGTTTTATTTTTCCGTTCCTTTATTTGTTTATTTCGTTTATATACAGTCGTTCATTTATTATCTATAAACGCCCACACTCTCTCACCCTTTTTCTCTGGATTTTTTTGTTTTTCCGGTGACGTTTGATACGACGCCTTTTTTGAATTTTATCACACACATTCATTGTCACTATGGGGAAAGACACATTCTTTGGATATGCAGCTGCAATGCTGTTGTTGAGCATTGGGGGAGTTTCGGCCACCCCGCGAGGATTCGAACCTCACACGTTGCAGCAGGAGACTGTTGGCGCAGGCCGTTGGCATAAGTATGAGAGCCTATTTTGGATGTATGCGAATACCGATCTAGGTAAGAACGAAAAACTTTCTCAACGTGATTTCTGCAAACATCGTTAGCTAATTCAGTCCTACGTAGATTCATTAAATCCAACCCAACGAGATGCTGGGTATTTTGGCATCAAGCGACCCAACAACGTACACAGAGACGCGGCCTCCGACGAGTCCATTTTCAAGCTAAGGATCCATTCCGACGGTATCCCGGCTTTAAACGACGGCAATATCACACTCTGCCACCCCACAATTCATCGCATCAGAGCGCCTTCTTTCTTACCACTCCGGACTGCTGCAGAGCTCGAGTACCACACCCTCTACAATAACGTGCTTACGCAGATTGAAGATAGCGAGGTTTTGGATGCCAAGCTATCGCTTGAGCAGACGCTCAGACATATCAACCACTGCGGGTCACCTCAGGACAGTGATACGCCATGGGGTCTTATGGAGGCCCATCCGCTCTCAGGGCGCCTTGCACCAGTGATTACGAGTGCAGTGACGAGGACGCGGTTTAGAGACGTAGATGGGAAGAGCGTAGATGCAAGGGTTCTACACGTCCTCGTGAGCCAGAACAACGGTCACTCTGCTGGTAGTGAGGTTGACGCGGCCTTTGATGTGCTATATACGATGAACCCAGAGCCACGGATCAGGTTCGTCAGCGTACCTGCAGAAAGATCGGACCACTCCCAGGTGGGCTATCCAAACTGGGCACGGATTATTGAGGAAGCCGGGAACCCTCTTATGAAGTTGTTGAAGAACGAGAAGGATGAGTCGGAAGATAAGGGAGAGGACGACCTTGAATTGACCGAAGCTGAAGAGAGGGAGGCAGAAGAGAAAAAGCATGCCCTCGCCCCTACTACTGCCTCTCACAGAGATGAGATACAGAGGAAACAGCGCGTGGAAGCTATCCAAGCAGCTCTGCACAGGGCTTCCAAAGGATCAATTCTTATCCATACACAAAACACCCCAACCAACACTACCTCGACACCCATGGAGACCCCCGAGAAGTCACATCTGACAATTACCTTCGTCAAGGCTCCCGTAACTCCCTCTAGCATCACTATGGTCTTGATCCGCATCTCCAAGACCCCACTCGAGCTCCTTTCACGCATTCGCCCCGGCACAAACAATGCCCCGGTCAAACCCGTGGAGGTTGGGAACGATCAAGTACCCGGAACCCCCGGTCCCGGTGCTATCGCTCTGGTCTTGTGGTCCCTCTTCTGGGTAGCCTGGGCTTTCTGCGTAGGTCTCTACACATGCCGTATCGCCCGCTACATTCTCTGGAGGATGCGTGGTTCCCCACCAAAATACCAGCGAGTCCGCACAGACGAGGATGACTGTGAGAGGGGGGTCATTGTGCTGTCCCCGGACTACTTCACTGTTGGCCTTGACACTCCAGAGGGTGGCCAGTCATTCGCGAAGCCGATGTTGAGTAGCATTAGCGAGAAAACCGAGCCGGAGGATGATGAAGAGAAATAGCAGCTACAGTTCTCACAGCCACGACGAGGCGATGTGACAGCACGACTGATCAAGCGGACCTGTAGCGCGATCAGAAAATATTATGTGTCTGTGGTAAAGAACTGTACAGCGGTAGATGTGGTGCGGACAGCGCCAGTTGTCTCTTTTGTCTTGTTATTATGGGGACTGTGTGTTGGATGGGAGCTTGGTGAATGGGCGTTTTCTAGGATTTTCTGATGTATGCATTAGGGACGGAGTTTTTTGATTTATTTTCTTTCTCTTTATATGGGGTGGGGCGGGGTTCTTTTGTTTATTGTTTTGTGTGGAGAACATCTTATAGCAGGTTGGGATTTTCATAGTTATACTACTCACCTAGACTAGGCTTCGTGACGGGTTATCTTTCTTCTTTTTTCATTTTTTTCATCTCTCTCTCTCTCTCTCTCTCTCTCTCTTGAATATAAAGTGCTCGTTTGTTTTCCATCAGTAATCCTTTCCTTTTTCTTCTTCCTCTGTGAATATCTGAGTGCTGGTGATCGAAAGCAAAAAAAAAAAGTGTCAAGTTATCAGTAATTTCTAATGCTAGTTGGAGTACCGGTATACTACCGGAGACTGAGTGATTTTCCATGATTTGATTAATTCTTCCTAAATCTTATTTGGGAATAACGTAGATATCGCGGCTGCCAGTATAAATTCCACTCAGTAGGAGCTCTCCTCGATTTGATTCATGAGGGGAGAAAGATATAAGAAGCCTCTATGGATTGGAGTGGTAAATATGGTTTGTTTCGGGAATACCACTGACATCCTCAGAATGGCACTTGTGGATCCTGCAGCTAGGTCGATAGACAGGACATATCACTGGAAAATCCTCATCTTCTTTTGCAGTGATAGAGTAGTGTATGTTTGTTTATGGACTCGGAGAAGTGAGGTGGAGAACATGTAGTTAAGGCTGACGATGACGTCGGCGGACCCCAACAGTACTCGCATATCAAGTATGTATTTGCGCAACCAGCAAAACACACCGAATCTCGAGAGCTTTCCCATCTCCCCTGAAATTATGCATCTTTTATCTAGACACCTGAAAGATTCTACAGGCCGCTTTTAGGCCATATCCATAAAGAACGAGGCGAAGGGTGTCTTAAAAGTCCTTTTATTGCTTTCCTCTCCACCTTTACCAGTATCTCAATTAGGCCAAGAATTTGAAGCATGAATCTCCCTTATCGAAATTATACTATACTTGGTCGTTGCAGTTTTGGTATAACTATGGGACTTTTTATGAGTTGTTGAAAACCTCGATTTTTGGTGTGGGCAACTACATTAGTACTTGACAAGCGAGTACATAGCAACAGTGTTCACTCAATTTGCAAATTGTCTTTTTGAACCTGAAGTTTTTGCTATGGACACGAACCGTTTTTTTCTTTCTTTTTTCTATATAAAGCTGAGCAATCATGGGGGGTTCCACTACGTTACTTTCTAGTCACAGAGGCATTGTGAATTATTTCAATACGCCACTCCTCGTTTATTGAGAACATCTCTACACTTTAAATGCAGTTGAACAAAAACCCGTTATCGCGCGATTACATAAATTGCAACTCGAGATTAACTAGACGGTTTGGTACGTGCCCCATCCTTCGAAGCCCCACGAGAACTTCGAGAAGCTTCAAGAACGTTTAGTCCAACGATCCCCAGGTAACACAAACAGTATGTAGCACCATTTACTCGCCCAATCATTCCACCCCGGGGTGCGCGGAGAAAAAGGCTCCCCACCCGGCGACACCGAAGCATCCCCGAGATCAAGGCATGTCCATCCCCTTGCTTCCCCCGCCACCTCGCCGATTGGGTTTGTCATCCATCAGCTTCTGTTGCTGGCTTAATTCCAACGGGCCGCCGCGTAGGGCGCACGCAAGGTTAAGATCACCTAAGAACCTTAATCCAACATCAAAGCTTCGGCCAGATGGAGATATTTGGCATGTTGGGAATTATTACGTGTTGAGGTGCAGATGTGAAATGGGGGGAATGGGGTGTTCAGTGCGTAGAGGCAGATTAAGCCGAGGCTGGGGATTACTTTTTTACTGATCATGAGTCTTTTGATCGACTGCCTCGATACAGATCCTTTGATCTGACGATGCGGTATGCTGACGAGCTGAGAAATCAGATGTTTGAGGTGCGCTTTACCAGGCAGATTTCTATTCACGGCACTACATTCGGCTTTATGTTGCAATCGCCGTAAATTAACTGCTTATGAGACATATCCTCTTATTAATCTGGTGGTAAGTGGGGCCTTTCCAATAAGGCGAGGCGGGTGCAAAGAGAAATGACGACAACGCCAGTACCTACTCCGAAGAAAAAAAAAGAGATGCGAGAATCGCAACGCTCTCTGCTCCGTTCCTTGCAGGATTTGGCCAGGGCAGTGCCTTCCTTCCTTCCTTTTTTAGGTGCACGTGTAACTAGCTGTGACCAATTGTAATCGTTGAACTGCAAAGTCTGTCAGATCATCCAAAAGTCTTTTTCCCATGTCCCTCGAAACAGCGAAAACAGCAACAACCTTGTTGGACCTTTCATGGCTTCTCACTCGAAGGTCTCAATGCTAGTTTCAAGGTTCCCTAACCACCACGCCTCTAAGCCAATCAATTATCCCTAGGGGTTTTAGTTTCTTGCCGGGACGGTCCTGTAAAGGCATGGCTAGTCCGGGAAGGTAAATCTGGTAACGGCTTGGGGTTACCGTTTTTTCTCTCTCTCGGGTTTTCAGGGAGGTTTTGTTGATTTCAAATCAAAAATCGGTTGTACCGCCGTTAATGCCGGTCGCCGAGCCGCAACAAGTAGATTTCTAACGTCCTAAGCACGATAAGCGATAAGCATGGAACCAGCGCGGGTTGAATTTTTTTTTTTTTCTCTTTAACGAAAGGAAAACCCCTTTAGGACGCCAAAACCATGCCACAATCGAATCCTTTAGATTCCTTCTGTTCCTTACCCTGATCTGTCAGCTAGGCAAAGATGAGTTAACTCCCCATGCATAACGGAATTAGGTGGAGAAAATCCACTGTTTACCATGCGTGACGTACTGAACATGAGCCTTTCAGAAAGATCTTATAAAGACCCATCTCCTCGCCGCAGTAAATTGCGTTTTCTTCTTCTTCAGTATCATTTCTATATCATATCCTACTCATACCAATCTTCACAATGTCTGCCGCTGATTTGAGAAACGTTCCTGCTGAGGGTGTAAGTAATTATTGACAACTGTTTTCACTTATACTGATTGGGTGCTAATGATTTATTCAGGTCTCCTACTTCACCCCAGCTCAGGTTCCTGCCTCAGGAACTGCTGTGGACCCCCAGCCCAACGGCAATGCCATTCCTTCGCTCTTCCAGCCCCTCACCATCCGTGGTGCCACTTTCCAGAACCGCATCATGCTCCCTCCTCTTTGCCAGTACTCAACCAAGGACGGAAAGGTCACTCCCTGGCACATGGCCCACCTCGGTGGTATCTTATCCCGTGGACCCGGTCTCGTTATCATTGAGGCCACCGCTGTCCTCCCTGAGGGCCGTATCACCCCTGAGGACTGTGGTCTCTGGGAAGATGCCCAGGTCGAGCCCCTCGCAAAGCTCGTTGAGTTCGCCCATTCCCAGAACCAGAAGATCGCCATCCAGCTTGCCCACGCTGGACGCAAGGCCTCTTGCCTTGCTCCGTGGTTGAGCTTTGGAGACGTTGCTACCGCTGAGCAGGGCGGTTGGCCAGAAAACGTCAAGGGTCCTTCCAACGTTGCCTACAACGAGCGTTACCCCCAGCCCAAGGAGATGACCCTCGACGACATTGAGGAGGTCAAGGCCGCATGGGTCGCTGCCGCCAAGCGTGCCGTTGCTGCCGGAATTGACGTTATTGAGATCCACAACGCTCACGGATACCTTCTCCACTCTTTCCTCTCCCCTGTCGCCAACAAGCGTACCGACAAGTACGGAGGATCTTTCGAGAACCGCACCCGTCTCACCCTCGAGATTGTCGATCTTGTCCGTGCGGCCATCCCTGAGACCATGCCCCTCTTCCTCCGTATCTCCGCCTCCGACTGCCTCGAGCACAAGGATGAGCCTTCATGGACTCTTGAGCAGACCGTTGAGCTGGCCAAGACCCTTTCCGACCGCGGAATCGATCTCATTGATATCTCTTCCTCCGGCCAGTCTCCTGACCAGAAGATCCAGCCCGGCCCCGGTTACCAGGCCCACTTCTCCCGCGCTGTCAAGGCCGCCCTCAAGGGAAAGCCCACTCTCGTCTCGGCTGTCGGATCCATCACCTCCGGAAAGCAGGCTCAGGACTTGCTTGATGCTGAGTGCGCAGATGTTATCATGTGCGGACGTTACTTCACCAAGAACCCTGGATTGGTTTGGGCCTGGGCTGAGGAGCTTGACACCCAGATCCACGTTGCCAAGCAGATTGGATGGGGTTTCGGTGGACGTGCTGGGTTGAAGAAGCCTAAGACTAACGGCACTGTCCCTTAGATTATTTGTAATTGAAGCATTGGGAATTGGGTTTTATCATATAGTTGGGGTTTTGTTTATGCACACTTATGTATTAGTATGAGCTCTTAAGAGCAGATATTTCATTGAATCTATTAGATCTATCAGTTATTTTATTCGATATTTGAGAGTGAGCTTGCTTCTTGACAAGTGAAACTCCATGGGCTTAGACGCCTCGGGAAAGAATGGTGCAAACAGAGAAATTTTTGAAGAAATAAATGCACTTATTTTCGAATCTTTTGCTCCGAGTGATACCTTATGAGCAGTCGCCCAATTGCCAATCCGTCGGTTGTTGGATACCGCAAGAAATCTTCTGCTATTCCAGAATGGCTCCGCCTAAACTTTTGATGAAACGGAGGCGGCGATATATCGATTCGTCTAGGAGGAAGATAGATTGCAGCTACATGTACATGTGTTGCTGCTGTCTAGGTTACACCTGTCGTGACCTCTATTTGCGCTAGCGCCTTTCTATATGTACATGTAGTCACGGCACATAGATCAAGCGAGTGATATCC